TAAATATGTACAACGAATCATTTGATCTAACCTGTCTTCCTCAGACTTTGCGAGAAGCCTCAATTTCTTTAATTTTGAAAAAGGGCAAAGACCCTCAGTTGTGCAGTTCATATCGACCAATATCACTTTTAAATGCTGATGTAAAAATCTTAGCCAAAATTTTTGCTCTACGATTAGGAACTCTTCTTCCCAAAATTATTTCCTCTGACCAAACAGGCTTTGTTTAAAATAGATTTTCATTCTTTAATATCAGACGATTATTCAATATCATTTATCATCCTATGTCTTCATCTGTACCTGAAGTCTTGATTTCACTTGATGCAGAGAAGGCTTTTGATAGAGTGGAATGGGATTATTTAATTTATGCTCTTAAGAGTTTTGGCTTTGGAGCAAATTTTATATCCTGGATCAGATTATTGTACAAAGCCCCACTTGCCTCTGTTCGTACCAATAACATTTCTTCTGCATATTTTCAGATTAATCGAGGCACAAGACAGGGCTGCCCTCTCTCTCCTCTTTTATTTGCAGTTGCAATAGAGCCTTTGGCCATTGCTCTGCGTCAAAACACAAATATAGCTGGTATAATAAGAGGAGGACAAGAGCATAAAGTGTCTCTATATGCAGATGACTTGCTGCTATACGTTTCTGATCCATCTAAATCCTTGCCTCATATTCTCAAAACGTTTGATACATTTGGCAGGCTATCTGGCTATAAATTGAATTTACAGAAAAGTGAAATATTTCCCATCAATAATGCTGCCCGTGAGTTTTCCTTTACATCCTTCCCATTCAAGATATCAAATACATTTATCTAACGCTTATTTTAAGCTCTTTGCTGAAAACTTCCTCCCCCTACTGGAGCGAGTTGAACAAGATTTAAACCGTTGGGCCTCTCTTCCATTATCAGTCGCAGGTCGAATAAACTCAATTAAAATGAATGTGCTACCCAAGTTCATTTATTTATTTCAATGTATCCCAGTGTTTATCCCTAATTCCTTTTTCCGTAGGCTGGACAGTGCTCTCACTTTATTTATATGGAATGGTAAACCTGCCAGAATGCGTAAAAGTCTTTTGCAACATCCTAAGTCTAGAGGTGGAATGTCTTTACCTAATTTCAGATGTTACTACTGGGCCTCAAATATTCGTCCTATACTTCACTGGCTCTACGAAGATCCTGGGGCTGATGCTTTATCATGGATAGCCATTGAATCTACCTCATGCTTGCCCTCCTCCCTAGCAGCATTAGTTTATGCTCCTCTTTCCTTCCCTTATGACAAATATACAAAAAACTTGATGGTAAGATCCACACTTAAAATTTGGAAACAAATTAGACGTCAATTTGGTTGGCAAACTATATCTCCAAAATCTCCCATTCATTCTAATCCGGTTTTTAGTCCATCAATAATTGATAAATCATTTGCGTCCTGGCATACTAGAGGTTGTAAGGAAATAAACGACTTATACCATGAGGGAATTTTCTCTTCATTTCAACAGATATGTGAAAAATTTAATATTCCAAATAAAAACTTTTTCCATTATCTCCAAATTCGCGATTTTGTGCATAAAATGTTCCCTCATTTTCCAGTATTGCCTCCTAGCTCCTCATTTGATAATTTACTGGAGAGGCCCACAATTTGGAAAGGGATTATATTATCACTCTACTATAAAATTATGGCACCAACTAATACATCCCATTCCCAAATAAAATCTGTGTGGGAAGATGATCTGGGAATCACAATTTCAGATGAGGATTGGGAATCAGTCTTATACAGAATTCACAAGTCCTCTGTCTGCGCAAAGCATGGACTTCTGCAGTGCAAAATTGTGCATCGTGGACACTGGACAAACCTAAAGCTCTCAAAACACTTTCAGCATATAGACCCGGCCTGCAATCGCTGTAATTTCACCCCAGCCACTCATGCACATATGTTTTGGTCTTGTATAAAGCTTAATTACTTTTGGGACACTATTTTTAAAATTATATCTGTTTTTTTGGGTATATCCATCTCCCCTTGCCCACTGATAGCCATGTTTGGAATTTTGCCTACAACATACAATCTTACAAAAATACAATCTGATAGCATAGCTTTTATTGTGCTCCTGGTCAAACGACTAATATTGCTTAAGTGGAAGGATCAGAAGCCTCCAACCCCAACACAGTGGATTCGTGATGTCTTATTTTTTGTTAAGTTGGAAAAAATTAGACTGTCTAGAGGTTCATCTAAGCAGTTTAAAAAAACTTGGGACCCATTTAGGAAATATATCCAAGAACATGTTTTATTGTCAACTACAGACCAAATCCTTGTTCCAGCAAATTGATTTATCTATTTTTTCTTTCCTAAATGCGAAATTAGAGTGTATTGTGTGCTTCAGATTGCACAACTGTAGTTTCATTTAAGCCACACTATTTATTTTTATTTTTCTATTTATTTATTTATTTATTCAATTTTTTTTATTACTATTATTATTTTTCTTTTTTTCTTATTGTACGTGCCAAAGTTGATACTGTCTATACTTTTTGAAATGTAATTCTGTTTTGTCTTCTTTTTTGCTGTAATTTGCCATAAAAGTCATAAATAAATAAATAAATAAAAAAAAAAAAAAAAAAAAAAGATTTCCGGCATCAACAACAGTAGGCGTCGCGGTCATTTCCTGGCACAGGCTTAACCCAAACTCAATTCGAATTCCTTGGCCACAGTGACACTTTGCCATTTTAGCCGACAAACTGGGCTAGTGACTATCTTGTTCTGTACCTCACCTCAAGTAACCATATGATGGGTGAGCATGCTTTTACGCTTTCTGCTATGACGTGGAGCGTGAGGTGCACTCAACGTTACGCTGCATGAATTTTTAATTAGCCTACATTAGTAACAGTTCATTTTGTTACGGTATGAACTTAATCCTAGGAAAGGCAAAAATAAATTAATAAATTTAAGACCTTTGTAATAAAATTCTAGACTTTATTTACAAAATTCAAGGCTATTAAGGCCTTCATTTGAGATTATGAAATTTAAGAGTTTTTCAATGCTTTAAAGACCCCACGGGTACTCTGGACATGGACCTTCAGCATGCAGTGGGACGGTTTGCTGCTTAGTGTGACATGGCAGGGAAAGAAACAGCACCTTTAAGTCAGAAACCATAATGCTTGACTGAAAATCAGTGGCCATCTCCAGTTTGGCAAAGAGTCCTTACCCCAAATGGAGTTTAATTATCTGCATTTTTTGCCATGAAGAATGGAATATGAGATTAAAAGATGGATCAGTGCAAAGGCAGCAGTAATGCAGTTGAGGTGTCTGTTGTGGTGAAGGAGCTGAGACGAAAGGTAATCTAAGTACCTACTCTCAGCTATGGTCATGACTGAAAGGACAAGATCTCGGATACAACCGGACACATTAAACAAAATGTTATTACCTGCTTGTTTGAGTCGCAGCATAAAAGAGAGATGAGCCAACAAAATAACCTGAAAGCAAATGATTTATTATAAAATGTAACTCATAGAACAATCAATCAAAGCAACCAACAAATGTCTAGGGATACCAATGAAGATAAAGAACTTAGGATATAATCACAACAACAAACTACATGATATAAGTAACGCAAAACAAAACCATAAGGTTAAAGAGTCAATGAGATGGCAGGTCTTGACATGAGGACTCCTGAGTAGCCACAGGTCCTGAGGTAGCTAGCACAACTACTTTTATATAGCCATTGATGATGAGTAATGCAGGCATCCAATCACGATTTACCACATACTCCAATCTGGATTTCTCATTCAGGAAGTCAGACAGAGAACATCATCCAAAACAACATTAGCTACTAGTACACTGGAGAGTGGATAACAGAGGAGATTTCAAGCCACAGAGGTGCTGTTTGCCAGATGTTTATGAAACTGTTCTTCTCTCAGCCGCCATCATTGTGTTTACATAAATGCAAGGAGCGCGGCACATTTACAACCCCATCTACTGCAGTGTCGGAGTGTTGGAAAACAGTATACCTATTATACTGTTATTTATAGCCAATTCAAACATTATTCAGACATGAAACATCCTGTGCACATAAGATAATGTTTTGCTGCATTCATGTCATGTGTGCAACTTTTTGTCCACGTGTTTCTTAAGCTGCGCCGAATGAGCGAAACTCTGTAGACACTGATCAGATCTGTACGGTTTCTCTCCAGTGTGAATCCTCTTTTGGGTTTTGAGATGTTAACTGATTAAACCTCTTGTCACAGTTTGAACACTTGTACGGTCTCTCCAGTGTGAATCATCTGGTGCAGTTTTTGGAGCTGTAATAAAAGTCTTCTCACACTCAAAGCACATATACTCTTTCACACCAGTGTGGATCTTCATGTGTTCATTAAGGTTTGGTGATTGGTTAAAACTCTTCCCACACTGAGTAGATGTGAATGGTTTCCCTCCAGTGTGGGTCTTCATGTGTTTAATAAAGGTCTGAGGAGCTGCTGAAACTCATCCCACATCGAAGCTGCAGTCACACTAGAATTTGAGCATGCGAAATTCTGTTGTACAGCACTGTGAAAAGGAGCCGGATTAAACAAGATGATCAGACATTTAAAAAGCGAGCGATTGGTCTATATTTTACTAACTGTTTAAAGAGATCTTGTTTTGATCTTCGATAGGTCTCACACAGTCAAGTTATGCAATTTTACAGTTCAGAATTCACTAAGCTTGAATTCTGCAAGGCAATGAACTGCGAAACTTGAGGCATGAACTTGCATTTCCGGTCTGACGCATTCACGTGCGTATGAATGGAAGTCTATGGAGAGAAAAGTCCAGTGTGACCACAGCTTAAGTGCAAGTGAATGATGTCTCTCCAGTGTGGTTCCTCATGTGATAATTAAGGGATGTTGATAGGCTGAAATTCTTCCCACACTGAGGGCATGTGAATGGTTTCTCTCCAGTGTGGATCCTCATGTGTCGACTAAGGGAGAATGAGCAGTAAAAACTCTTCCTACACTGAGTGCATGCGAATGGTTTCTCTCCAGTGTGGATCCTCATGTGTTGATTAAGGTGTGATGATTGACTGAAACTTCTCCCACACTGAGTGCATGTGAATGGTTTCTCTCCAGTGTGTATCCTCATGTGTAGATTAAGGTATGATGACCGGATAAAACTCTTCCCACACTGAGTGCATGTGAATGGTCTCTCTTCAGTGTGGATCTTCATGTGGTAATTAAGGGATGTTGATAGGCTGAAACTCTTCCCACACTGAGTGCATGCGAATGGTTTCTCTCCAGTGTGTATCCTCATGTGTAGATTAAGGTATGATGACCGGATAAAACTCTTCCCACACTGAGTGCATGTGAATGGCCTCTCTTCAGTGTGGATCCTCATGTGTTTATCAAGGTGTGATGATTGGCTGAAACTCTTCCCACACTGAGTGCAAGTAAATGGTTTCTCTCCAGTGTGGATCATCATGTGTCGATTAAGGGAGGATGAGCAGTTAAAACTCTTCCCACACTGAGTGCATGTGAATGGTTTCTCTCCAGTGTGGATCCTCATGTGTCGATTAAGGGAGGATGAGCAGTTAAAACTCTTCCCACACTGAGTGCATGTGAAACGATTCTTGTTTCTCCTTTTCAAAAAAATATTTTTTTCCTCAATTTTGACATGATGTTCCTCCTCTTTACTCCCCTCATTCTCTTCAATGCGTTCTGAAAGAAATAAATAAAACATTAGTTTTCATTAAGTCTTAAAAACGCTCATCAAAAGCTGAAAAGTGAAAAGACATCACACACCTTTTCACGTACGTTTTTACAGATGTCCACATTGCAGGGCAGAAAGCAATTAGATGTATTCTTTGGCAAGTTTTGTAAATACCCAAGTGTCCACTTAATGGATGTGCGTGGTAGTGTTGGAGGAGATTTGGGATAAGGGTGGCATGTATATATATATATATATATTAAGGGTGGAGCCGAACCCGAATACGGTATTCGGAAAGGCACGAATAGCATGTTTTTACGAATACTTGATTCGAACAAATACTTGAAAAATTATTTGTATTCGGGAGCAAGAAAAACACTATCAAAAAGCTGCGTTTCCTCATGAGACCACAGTGCATGCCCGCGTGAGTGAGTGAGTAAAAGAGAGAGAGAGAGAGAGAGAGTGAGAGAGAGAGAGAGAGGGAGAGAGAGAGAGAGAGAGAGGCAAAACGCGCCAAAGCCCGAAACTGAAAGCGAGACGTGACTTTTAAGGGGTTGTTTCATATGGATTTATTAATCATTCTTACTGTTCAGTGATCGCAAACTGCCGTAGTTTATTAAAGACGCAAACCCCTCACTGCACGTCAGCTGCGCGCCTTCAGCAGACCTCCTCATTCCTGCAGCACGAGAGCTTTATGATTGTTTATGAGTGCCAAAAGTGGCGGATCTGTTCGGCGAAATATCTGACTGCGTGTCACCGCATCCCTAAGGACTATTTGGCGAAATATTTGACTGCATGTCACTGCATAACAAACGACTGAAAGGATATAACTAGAGAACTCTCCACTGTGCTACTGGGTGAGAGCGTATGGCAAGCTGTTTTAGCATTTAAACCTTGTTCAGACTATCCATAAATATATTTAGAGATATCTCTAATTATATTTTGACTTGTCATAATTATAATTCGACTAGTAGATTGGAAATATCTGCAAATATATTATGATACACTAGTCATATTCCTCCATTGACTTCCATTGAAAAATATTTGCAGATATCTCTAAATAAGTTTTGACTAGTCACAATTGTAATTAGAGATATCTCCAAATGAATTTTGACTAGTCAAAAATCCAATTCAATATATCTACAACTGTAATTAGACTTTTAGTAAATTAATTAGAGATATCTTCAAATATATTTGTAAATATCTCTAAATATGATGAATTAAAGATATCTCTAAATGTATTATGACTAGTAAAAACTCAGAGATATCAATTACAATTGTTACTAGTCAAAATTCATCTGATTTCGTACTAGTACAATTGTAATTGCAGATATCTCTAATTGTCATTCTGAGTAGTGGAATTATAATTATGACTAGTCAAAATATAATTAGAGATATCTCTAATATATTTATGGAGTCAGAACAAAGATTTAAATGCTAAAAAGGCTTGCCATAGAGAGCGCTTCTCACTGAACAGAGCACCGTGCAACCTTCTATGTAATGTTGTGATAAAGTCACATTAACTGTCACCGCTGGGAAAGCAGCACTGGCATTCGCACACGCACATTCTCACGCACACACATACTTGCAAACACACACACACACAGACGCGCTGACACGCAGACACACTCACAGACCCACTTACCTCATTCATTCATCATAATGTTCCTCCCTGCCGTTGCCGTTATCGGAGGAGCGGGTGCACACGCGATCTCGATAGCAAATGGTCATATTTCCATAAATCCACTCCCCGCAATTCATAAGTCATCCATAGGCATTTCATACACCTCTACTTCACCTGTTGTGTTGTCTTCTCTGTTTGGTGTTTGTCTGTGTGGGCGTAGTCAGGCTTCCGGGCGCGATCGGTCAAACCGAGCACATAGGAAGTGCCGGTTTAAGAATGAATGGGATTGTGTGCGCATGCGCACTGCGATCGGAAGCTGACGAAACCATTATGTTTGTTAAATAGGTGTTTTGTGTTTATGAAGTGTGTATTATGTGTTTATTTATATTAAGAAAATGTATGTTTTGTTGTTAATTATATATTAAGGATTTTTTCTTTATGTGTTTAATGTGAAGTGTGGCTTAAATGTCAAGTTATTTAATGTTTGTGTATTTGTACGTTTTAATACTTACCTGTTGAATGGTTTAGCCCACAAACGGGCGGGAGTTTGGGCTATATAAGCCAGAGCCCAACTTTCTTACAACACTTGTTAACCAAGTCGATGCAAGAGTGCTACTGTGGTGCCTCAAGCAAGTATATTGTGGATACCTGATATTATCGTTATTATTATTGTTTTTGTAGATATAATTGGAGTATATTTTTGCAGATTTTATTTTCCTGTTTGTTGTTTCTTTGGTACTTTTTATTACTATTTTTTTTGTTAGCACTTGTAAATATCTTCACTGTGGATGGACTTTTTGGCACTGTAAATAAATATCACCTTGCACGACAGTGCTTTGCGAGTAAGCCATCATTTTTTTTTACAAACTCACATTTCTTCCCCCTTGAAGACGAGTTGGTGGGCTCGTTTTCATCACATCTGGTGGCAGCGGTGGGATGGCTACTCGCAAAACAGCGCCAAAAGGCCGAAAACCGAAGACGGGTTTACGGTCCCAAGTGAAGGCAGCATCAGAGGAAGGGGCTGATTGGAATTCGGTGGTGACAACGGAGGATGAGGAGGGAGCCACAAGTCGTCCCAGAGTCTCCTCAAAGTCCAGCTCAACCCCATCCAAGCCAGTTACTTCTGATGCTACAGCTGGTGAGTGAATGTATTCCCTGATGCGGAGATTTCTGGACTCTCAAGAGGAGAGGGAGGACCGATATATGCAGGAGCTCTGGGGTCTTCGTGATTCCATTCTGCAGTCAATACGTCCTGCGGAGACTTCCATTGATGCAGAGAGTGCACGAATGGAGCTACCGACACCCGCAACAAAGGTATCCACAAAACACAGAACAGCCTATATCCATGACTCTCCAAATGTCACAGTGCCAAGAGTGCCGATGCAGTGGACTGAGCCAAAGATGCCAAGCTTCCAGCAGGGGGAAGATATTGAGAATTATCTTCAGCGGTTCGAGCGTCTGGCCAGAACATGGAGGTGGCCTAAGGAGGAGTGGAGCTACCGTCTGGTTCCGTTGCTGACAGGACAAGCACTGGAGGCATACCTGGCAATGGACGAGGAAGAGGCTGAGGTCTATGCTGATCTGAAAGAAGCACTGCTGGAGAAGTTCAACATCTCTCCAGAGACATACCCCCAGCGCTTCAGGTCATCTACAGTTCCAGTGGGAGAATCGCCGACAGAGACCTACCACTGACTAAAGAACCTGTACAAGCGATGGGTCCAACCAGAGGAGCACTCCAAAGAGGAGATTGGTGAGGTCATCATCCTGGAGCAGCTGCTTCGGGTGCTACCCTACGACGCACGCACCTGGGTAAAGGAGCACGAGCCAAAGTCAGGACAGGCAGCAGCACGGTTGGCTCAGCAGTACCTGAACGCACATCGTGGCGGGCTCCGTACTCAACCACATAAAGGTACTGTACGTCACACATTACATAACACTGGTTCTGAGAGGGGTCGTACTGAACTGTCGGACAATGCACAAACCCAAAAACCTGCAACCAAAGACTTGATTTGCTTTTACTGCCAGCAGCTGGGTCATAAAGCATCGGTATGTCCTGCTCGTAAAGCTAAACTTACGGGTTTTTGTTATGTGCCAAGAGAAGGGGACTGTGATTTTGACTCTGTGGGGGAGGGTCATAATGTATATAATGTTACTGTGAACGGACATGAACTAAAAGCACTCTTAGATACTGGAAGCTCTTTGTCAATGATGAAATCACGTTTTGTACATAATGTCAGTTATGAAAACACCACCTCTGTTCAATGTGTACATGGGGACATAAAGCAGTATCCCCGAGCTGAGGTCATGGTTAAGGTACAAGAACAAATGTACTTGCTTAATGTTGCCGTAGTTGACAATTTACCCGCTGATATGATTCTAGGAAGAGACTTTCCAGTACTATATGAACTTTTGCAACCCACCATCAAAGACTCTGAACATTCCATTGCTACTGTTAATGTGTCATGTCCAGCTCTTACAAGAGCACAAGCCAGGGCAGGTCTACAGCCCTTGCCAGACTTGGATAGTAGTCTGTTGCAGGGAGGGACCAAGGGCCCTAGGAAGTCAAGACGCCAGCGGCGTCTTGAAAAGTACCTGGGAACTCCAGCCTCTGAGTCCTCAGGAGAGGGTCTCAAAGTTGATGGCTGGAAGGTCCCAGGGAATATAACACAACTTCAAAGGGAAGATAAAACCTTGAAACCCTTATTTGTTAAAGCCGAGTCTGAACAAACATCAATTTTGTGCAATGAGGTATATGTAGTAGAGAATGGTGTGTTATATGTGAGAACAAATGATGTGTTGCGTTTAGTTGTGCCATCTTGTTGTCGTCCTCTTGTTCTTCACCTTGCACACACTGTTCCATGGGCTGGTCACCTAGGCCAACAGAAAACATATGCACGCATTAGCTCACGATTTTACTGGCCCACACTTTATACTGATGTACAAACACACTGCAAAACATGTGCCGTCTGCCAAAAGACAAGTGCTGTGTCCCAGCGGGGCAGAGCACCCCTGCAACCTCTCCCTGTTATCTCTGCACCTTTTAGGCGGATTGCCATGGACATTGTGGGGCCATTGGAAAAGAGCAGTGCTGGACATCGTTACATCCTGGTGGTCAGTGACTGCGCCACAAGGTATCCTGAGGCCTACCCACTCCGTTCTATTACAACACCCAAGATCATCCATGCCTTGATTCAGTTGTTCTCCAGAGTTGGCATACCTGAGGAGATACTTACCGACCAAGGAACAAACTTCACATCACGTCTGATGGGGC